GTAAATACCAGATCCTCTTGCCTTTGCAAGCCGGGAGTTCTCATTAGTATAGGTGATTGTGCAAAAATATGCCCCAGGCAATGTAAAGCCAGCCTCTTCAAACTACAGGTGTGTTTGTTAAGCACACCAGAGGTAGAGTCACTGTGGCCCAGAGCTTATCTGTATTGGATGACACAGGGAAGCCCTTCTGGGACTGGAGATGCACCTGAAGTCTTTACAGGCAGATCACTGACTAGCCTTTCAGAAGGAAACAAGTTCAGGGTTGTTAGATTCACTGTATTGAAAGCATGGCCTCAGACAATAATGAAAAAGAGCTTCAGACAAACGCAGAAAAGCAACTGAAAGAGGAAACGGATGAGCAGGCTGGAGCAGAAACTGGAGGAGACCAGCTCACCGGCCCTGAGGAGCCAGAGCAACTTTCCTCCTCCAAGGCAGAGTCTGGTTACGAGGCAAACAAACCGGCAACGCCTTGCGCCGAAGAGGAGAGCAACGAGGACTGCGATCCTGCTCAGGGGATGAAGCAGGTGAGAATGCAATCGCTCTTAGCTCAGGTACGGAAGCAGATACGAGCTCAGGTTGGTGTGGACTTCCACAGGGGAGGGATTTTAGATGTCATTCAGAGGGTCGCCCGGGGAGAGCTGGACAAAGGCGGGGACGGAGGGCTAGAGGAGACAAACCAGGCTGTGAGTGGAGTAATGGAGGAAGACGACTGCAGCAGCAGTCAACAGGACTGTGAGGAAGGAGCAGAAGTAGCTGCTTTGAGAGAGGAACTGCAGGCCAGCGCAGAGTTGCTGAGGAAGGAATTTAAATTGGAAATAGCTCAGTTGCGCACAGAGATGCAGGCCTACTGCGACAATGCCATGAAAACCCTGGAGTCCAAACTCCTAGTCACAACCAGAAGTACAGACCCCTGGAAGACCATGCTGCAGAAGATTAACCATCCAGGAGAGCACCTCCATCCCAGCGGGAGAAGTCTGGAGAACAAGCACAAGTCCCTCTCTGTGCCGTCACTGGTTCCTGGCCGGAACCGAGTTCTCAACCGCACCATGACTACCATCACCCCTCAAACAGCCCTCATGGCTACCCTGGGTCCCCGGTCCAAATCAGACACTTTGGGGTCAACCAAAGAGAAGTACAGCAGCCTTCTCCTGCTTGAATCCCCAGACTTTCATGTTCTGGCTTCTCATAGCACAAAATTGTCCAAGGCCACAGGCCTGCCCTCTGCATGTCCACCTAACATTGGAAACACAGTGAAGCTGATTAGAAATAAGGCCCGGCTGGGGAGCTCCATCACTAAATACCCTTGATTGCAATCCGACTTTGAAAGCTGACAGAGGGGATGCTGGATCAGATAGGAGGTACAGCATTAGGCGTTAAGTGACTCATTCTGCTGTCAGTCTCTGTGACCATCGGCAAACCTGGTTTACATTTTGTTCGTTGTTTCCTTTATACCAAGCTGAGTTTAGAAATATCAGCATATTGTACAGTGTAGTTTTCTTCTCTTTTAAATTGTGTTACAAATGTAATTATTTCCCAAAACAATAAATTGCTGACACTTGACATTTTTGTCAGGTATTTATTATTTTTCCACATAATATACGTTCTATAGAGCCTTCAAAATTACTGCTTTGAAAACATACGAATTTTTGGCGTACTCTGTTGTAAACTGGTAATGACTGATTGTTGATAAGTGCGAGATGTTTTTTTTCCTGTAATTATTGTGCTTTCAGTGGTTGATTTAAAAGCCCCATAAAACATTTAACTTGAGCCTTAATTTCTTTCCTCTCCCTGATTGCTTGCGGTTCAGTAAGGTTCATTTATTTAGAGTTAGTAAAGGGAAACGGTGCTAAGGGACTGTGAGTTCAATTGCTGCTGATTGACTTGCTGGGAAAATGGACAGAGCTTACTTTTTTATCTCTTTAATAGAACATTAGAGTCTGAAAAGATAAAGTTGAGCACTGATCTCTCATGAGATTGGTTACAAAGCCCAGGGGGTGACCTCAGGTTCTTTTAGCAGAACAGCTGAGTGCATACTGGTATGGTAGATAGGATTGGCCTTGAATTCACAAAATACAAGTGTTTGCTCTACTCCCGTAAAACATAAATCTCTCTCCTAAAAGTCATTCTAAGAAACTGCCTATGGATATATTGGCAGCACTCCATGTTAATAATGCAACCAACCCTGCCAAAAGGAAATTTGGATTGGATCTTACAAGTAAGACCGGAGAAGAAAGTTATTAAGTTTGATCCAGGCAGTGAACTCAACAAGTTCAAATTTTCTACAATCAAACACCTCATGGAAGCTGCTTTTGGTAGAACAGCGCACATTACACAGGCCATTACGCATTACACAGTAGTTTTAGGCATTCATAGGAATGCAAAGATGTGCAAAGGAGAAAAAACAGAAACTTGTTGAACTGACCTGTTTTCTCGAGAACAGGATTGTGGTGGTAGGCACAAAAAATGAGGGGAAGGGGGAATAATTTGTTGATCTGAAACTTCTAAGAGACAGATGCAGACAGTGGACACACAATGTGGAAGTGCAGCCAATTTAGCCAGACAGACACTTCCACTTCCTTTCCAAGGTAAACATAATGCCCAGAAAAGGCAAAGCCCAGAGTTCATTTCTTGCAAAGAAGCTGAAAACAAGAAGCAAACTGTACTGTATATTTTTGCTTTTAGGTACAGCTCAACACATCCACAAAGAAAGTGGCATTTAAAAGCACAAGACGTTTGCTTCTGGAGTCAGCTACAAAACACAGCCTGTTAGCCAGAGTATTTCCTGAGGGGATTAAGATGAGCCAAAGAAAAAACAGTTGTGATATCTTTGACTACCGCTCGTCACGCTGATTCAGTACAATCCAGAGTCTCTACGTTTCTGGGTTTTTTTTTTCTAAAAGGCCTTGTAGCATTTTCCCACAAAGGGGCTTTGAACTCCAGATGGAAAAGGCAAAAGATGGGGCGCACACAGAAATTGTGCAGGTCAGAGGTCAGACAGAAGGCCGGCCAGAACAAACTGCATCACCAGACAATGAGCTAAATACAGTGCATTTTGGTCAAAGGGAAAGAAAAGGGACTTGCATAATACATTTTTTTTACCATGTCCTTTTATTTGTATTGCATTATCTGCGTCAGAAGGGATGTTTAACACAGAAAGCAACATTCCTCAGAATTCTTGTCAGCTGTGCTTTATTGCAAGAGTATTGATGGTAGTTGAACGATATGTGGTTTCAATATTTAAATGGTAAATATTAATAGTCGATGATATTGGAATACAGTTCAGTTTTCTCTTAATAAGACTGTTTACGGTCTTGAGGATTAACACCAGTAGCAAATGATGATGATTAGTTTACTATTATCATGTTTCATACAACAGTTCAAGAAAATCAGAATGTCTGATATACGTAAACCATATAATTGAGTGTGGGTAATTCCTAAAAACTAAAAAACAAAAAGCTTGTGTGTAATTCCTAAAAACTAAAAAACAAAAAGCTTTCATTTAAAAAGAAAGACAAAAAAGAATACCATGCCTACTTCAGGAAAGATATGCAGGTGCCACTTTATATTAATGTCACTCAGTAGTACCCCCAAAATATTAACCTTTTCACTTTATATATTCTACAATACATGAAATACAGAATAAAAACATCTTGGGAAGGTTCTCTCAATTTAGTACGAGATGGTTTTCCCTGCATGATTGTGCAGTGGTTAGCACTTCTACCTTGTATCACTGGGACCCTGGGTTCAGTTCCTGGGGTTCTATTTGAATGGTTTCCTTCCTCATTCCAAAGACAAACTGGCAGGTTAAATGACTTCTAGGAAAACTGGTGTGAGTGTGTGGGTGTCTGTGTCTGTGTATGCCCAAGCAATGGACTGGTGATGGACTGTTGCTTGCTGGGATAGTCTCCGGTTTACCCATGAAATGGAAAAATGTTTTCTACTAAAGAAAACAAAATTTTATTAGCTTAAAAGACTAACATTAACTACCAGCAAACGTTTAAGCAGTATATGAAAACAGCTTTTTTTTTATCCCAGTTTGTAATAAAAATGCTGTTTATTACTCAGGCCTAACAGTACAACACATTCTGTATGTAATTACAGCCTTCTGAGTTGTATTTCTCCTCTCACACAATGACAATCTCACGTTAGTTACACAAATTAATTTTGTAATCTAAATCTAAACCATTGGAAATCTTGCTAATCTCTAAATGAAAAGAAAAAACGATCATTCATGCCACCGTTACACAATAATTCCTTTCACTGGCTTGCTCCATTTCACTGATGTTCATTAAAAAGGTAATTCGAACTTGAGTGGCAAAGATTTCATTTTTTGCTGCTTACCAGGATGTTGCATTCATTTCTAGAGAATCACAGTACTCCAGCAGACAAAAAACATACCCCCAAAATAGTATCAAGTATGCATTTCTTAGAACTTTCCAATTAACGGACAAAAAATAAAATAATAGATCATAGATCATCTCAAATATTCATTTTTCATTTTGAAGGTTTTCCTTTTTAGTCATATTTCAAGCAAAAATAACATTTTATATGGACGTGGTGGAGACATGACATACAGTAGGAAAGGGGATGTGTTTTGATCAGACCAAGATCAAGCATGAGTTTGGTGAATGTTTTAAAGTGAAAAGGAGGAGAAAAAACAAGTAAAAGAAGAGATTAAACACAGATATCTATTTCATACAGAC